GTGGGGGAGTCTCCCCCTCTGGAGCCATCCCAAACCCGCCTGGACGCCGTCCTGTGCCACTGCTGGAGGTGCCCCTGCTCTGGCGGGGGGTGGGATGGGGGAGCTCCAGAGGGCCCTTCCAGCCCCCACCACCCTGGGATGCTGTGAGCATAAGTCTGTAATAAATGCACCAGGTGACAGTCGGGGGGGAGGGGGTTGAAACCACATTTTTCCTTCTTGGGAGCGAATTCATCAGCAGAATGGTCTGTGCATTCTGCGAGGCCTCGGGGGCCAAGCATTGCAGGAGGTTTGGGCAGGGAACGTCACCCCTGGAACAGCAGCAAAAATCTGTCTCGCGTTTAATCTCAAATTTAGTTTCTAATGGAAACCCAGGGAGTGTGGCAGAACACCTGACTTTCCAGGCAAGGACCACATACTTCGAGACACAAACAGACTTCAAAGCCTGTGGGCCATTTTTAATAGCTTTGGCACTCAGCAGGATTAACCTCGCAGCCTTGGCATAGCATCCCGCAACAGGGTACAATTCAGCAACTTTCTCTTCATGGCTCATAGAAATCTGGTTTGTTTTAACTAGTAAGTCAGCTATAAAGCTACATAAAAACATCAAACAGGCCTACACCAAAAAAAGTTGAGTTCAGAATTAAGCAGTCGCTTAACAACCACCAGCCATATGTAGAAAGATAACTGGTAGTAAATTTGTTTATTTAAACTCAAAAGAGGAAACAATAAAAATGTTAATTCGAAAAATGTAAACTAATTATTATTTCCTCAAACTGCATGCGTCGCCTTCCAAAAATTCTCTGAGAGAGAATAAACAAACAGTCAGACAAAACCACTCTAACCATGAGGTGTTGTGGAACGCGGTACTACAATGATGCGGGGAATCCCTTAACCAAAGCGAACAACTAAAGCTAAACGGGGCTTTTCGCAATAAACGGGAGAAGATCACTCTTTGAGGATTGCTCTGTCGCTTACAGCTACAGAAGAACTTAGTTTTCTTCATCCGAGGAGAGACCTTCAATTTCATCTCTGTCTCCTCCAATTGCCATCCAGAAGGCTTTGGCCACCTAACAGTGGAAAAAAAACAGATAGGAAATCACTGAAGATTTTGCATTTACCATCCAAAAAAATAGAAACTGAGCAGCAGCTAAATCTAGCAACCGTGTTTCTAGGTACAATGCTAATCCTCTCTGAAGTTAAGGAATTTCAACGCGGGGGCAATAGTTTAGAATTCACGGGAGGCATATGTGCTACACAACTTGAGCTAATTAAGGCATGATTAAATGTTCCTTGAGACAAAGGCTCTTCCATTGACTTCAGTGGAAGCTGGCTCGCGCCTTGACTGACTGCAGGGCCTTCATTTTAGAAATTTTGAAAGGGGAAAGCATTTTCTGGTGTTTTGAAATTCTAGGTTCATTACTCAGTTCTTGGGAGACACCAGACAGTCTTCCCTAGGACTGCAAGGTTTGTTCTTACTACTCTTAACATAGGAACTCTACAAGAGAAGTAACTATGGCTTAGAAAGGAAAACCCCATTTTTAAGAATTTCAATGCCGATTTCAAAACCTCACCTTTTCTGCATGTAGTTTTCTTTGTTCATGAGGCAACGTTGCAGCTTTATCTGTGGAAAAGAACGTAACTTAGGATGTGAACCTCAGGAGAGAGCAGGGAGAGAAATGCCTGTTGCAGCTGGTTTTAGGGGACTAGCAAGAAACTAGTTTAAGGTCATAAAAAAGGAATCTTATTTAGTAAGAGCAATTCCCAAACACCGGAAAGCCGATCCTTCTGAGCGCACTGAATTTCATCACAAACATCTGTAGCTTTAAACTGCAAGATCGGCACACAGTTGTAGAGCTAAAAAAAAAAAAACCAACAAAGTCTTTTTATAGGTTTGTTTGTAGAGAACTGTAGCATTAGGTCACGGGGGACAAAATCAGTGTGATAGCAGTCAGCTGAGCAATACTGACTTCTTTCAAGAGCACTACCAAGATGAAGGGCAAATTAATGAAAAGATCGGCTACTTATAAACAACCTTAGACAGGAGAATAGGAATTTGTACAATCTTCCCAACTCACATGCTGGCTTTCATGCCTTTGAGTGATTCGAACAGGCGATACAGCTCAGTACCGCTCTCCCCAGTACATTACCTTTCATTTCTTTCAGCTTTGAAAAAAGCCTTTCGAAGTTCTCCAGGTCACCATCTCTGGTGGTCAGGCTGGCTAACTCTTGAATGTCCATATCTAACATGGGATCTGAAATAAATGCATACAGGTTGGTTTAAGGTAAATGATTCTGTTCGGTCAGCAGGTATGAAAGCCTTTCTGATAAAAAAAAGAAAAAAAAGTATTTTAAAATCTGCAAACCCTGTTTACAAATTCCACCCCCCACAGGAGGGAAAGAAATATTTAATTTACTGACTCTTCATACACACAACTCATGGCATCGTTACAGTGGTAATTAACTTTGATACATTTCACTGCAAGAGTGGTTTTGAGTTCATCCAATATTTAAGGTTTCTTGCATATTATAAAATGATCTGGCTAGGAACAGCCACGGAGTAGATTAAAGAGTAATGAGACTGTGCTACCCAACCTTTAGCAGATCTCTACATACAACTTGTATGAAAAGTCCCATCTGCTGGAATGGTACAATTATTTAAGGACCTGTAGCTTGGAACACCCGAACCTCTTGGGACCGACCCAAGTAGAGTCTGCTTCGTTCAACCTCCTGCCGGGTCAAACTGTAATGATTTTTCTCTGCAACCACGAAGCTCGAAACGTTATTCTGATAAAACTGTTTCTTGACACAATATACACAATACGCACATCAGGAAAATTCACAAAATCAGATCTGAATGTTTCCAGTTCTAATACTGCAGGGGCTCTGTCCTATCCAAACTTGGGCCCATTTTTTCAAGGAACAGAACACCTACAGACTAAAGAATTAGCCTCTGCTGGCTCTGGCAAGTGCATTTATGCCATACTTTGCATTGAGAAAAAGCCAAGGGCTTTCTGGGACCATCCCAGCCAGGGGTGCCTACTCCAACATATCTGCCAAGCAGAGAGCGAGCTTACCCACAGCGTTGTCAATCTGCAGGTTGTTGGTGCTCGCTCCATCTTCTCTGTTGTCTAAATGGGATTCTTCTCTGTCTGCTGCTGATGGATCGGACTGTGAGGAAACAAATAGATATTAGAGTATCCAATAATGCCCCTAAAAAGCATCATCAGCAAATCAGGTGCTTCCTGTTTTGACCTCAAGAACTTACTCTTAATCTTAAACTGTTACTTATGTAAAACCTGTACCACGTGTGTTATAAAAAGCCACTTTTGCAACACTGTGCATAGGTACTACAGGAACATTTTCTATGATAGGTTTGTGGTTGTTTTTTAAATAACGCTATCAAGTGATAGTTTTTGTTTTGCACAAAACATTGCTCTTGGATAATGATGAAAAACAACATCTTGAATGGAGCTTTTAATAATTTTTCCTTGGCTCCAGTGGGCTGTCTGGGGTAAAACGTTTACACAGTGCGGAAGTCAGTGTGATCAGCACCCAACACTGAGCGCACAATCGGCCATCTCCAGGTAAAACGATGAGTTCTGAGGCAACGTCCCGAAAAACAGCAAGCTCACAGCCATGAGGTGACAGCTCCTAGGAAGAACTGTCTCAGGAGGCCTTGTAAGAAAAATGCAGATAGTTTTTCAGACTTCAGAAATGTTTCCTTTAAAATACATTCCGCCAGGCTGTGAAGCATCCCTTGAGAAAGGAGGGAAAAAAAAAAGAAAGCCGCCACCACCCCAAGTGTCACAACAGGAAAGAGCAACATGAAAAACAGTATGAGCAAAGAACAAGAAATAGGAATTACTGTTTACTTCTGTATCTTGGTTCTCTTCTGACCCGATGCTACAGTTGGCACCTGCTAATGTACTGAGAAGACCAAAGCCCTGGGTCCTGTCTAAAAACAAACCAGCTGTTAGTTTGGCAGAAGATGCAGTATTATCACAAATAGTTGTAACTGACCAGATGGGATAGAGACCATATCAGGGAAGACATACAGCACCCTGTAAAACTGTGTCAGTGCACATGAAAATACATTTTAAGCAGAAAGTTATCATATTCTCTAAGCTTTTTTTCAACTACACTAATAACATTTACTGCTAAATATTACCACCAGGGAATAGATGTGTACGCCAAGAGATGTGAGCTCTTTTTGCTTTGTGTCTGAAGTCACTGCTCGGTTAGGATTTGGTCTGGAAAATGTCTCCTGATTCCAAACAAGGCAGTTTTCAAAATACAGAAGCAGCATTTGCTATTACTGACATTCAGCGGACCAGGTTTCACCATCCATGGGAAGCAGCACCGAGTTTGTGGTTAGATACAGGAAACGCAACACATTTTATCTTAAACACATAGTGGCTAAATAGGTTGAGCATTATATAGTCATGGCAAAGGCAATTTTGAAATATCCAGTTCAGAATTCATGGAAGGACCCATGAAACCCAACGTCTCCTCACACTGCACGGTGCTTTGGGCTTTCCACATCTGTTAACCTACTGCGAATTTCAATGGTATTGTAAAAAATCCAACCTGAAAAAAAGTGAATGCAAGCCCAAAACTAAATAATCATCAAAGATAATAGATGCAGTACAGTATTCTTAAATGGAACTAACTCTCTTTTTAAAACTTTATTTTTAAAATAAAAATATATGCATAATAGGTGATATTATGAGGTGGGTTTTTTCAAAGCCACGTTTTCAGCTGGCCTCGCATTGAGCAGTAAATATTTGCAGTTACACAAGGGACTAGGGAGATTCTTCTGAAAGTCTTAGTATTTTAGTCAACTAAGAAAGAAATAATGTTAAGTTTTGTAGTACAAATAGCCAGGAAACAATGACTTGTACCAGCAGAAAGATTAATATTACTTTTTAAAAAAAATGTGTTCTAAATTATTACACTAATGACTAAGCTCTAGACTCAAACGTTGAGATGATGTCATTTTTATGCGCTGTCCAAATTCACTTGCCATTTATACAAAATTTCATTTTGAAGAGTCGAATGTGTAACTAAACCCATCAGCTATCTAGAAAACACGTCAACATGTCTCCATTAGGGAATTACTAAGACCTCATTTCCTGTTTAATAATCTTCACTGTGTACTCAGGCCAATGTGTGTCCCGTCCCAGTTCTCCTCTCCCCCTCTGCTCCCCCCCACCCCCAGCAGGTATTTGTTTCAACTGCCTCCGTTTTATATAGTTTTACTGCTTTAACAGATCACTTGCCAACAGCTTGGGAAGAAGTGAATCGGTCTAGCTGAATGAATTGCCTTAAAAATGTTCAGTTGCAAGACAGGTGAAAGCCTGTAAAGTCCACCAGCTAAATTAACAGGCAATCGAGGGATAAAAGATTGGGACTTGCAACCCAAAACAAAGTAGCTTCCCCAAGTTTCAGCAGGCCGAGCAAAGAGCTGTCCTTTGGGAAACTGTAAAGATCCGACATTTAGCCAATTTCTGAGTCATCTGACGCTAGATTGGCCATCGCAGTCCAGAATGTACTTGCGAGAGAACATTCCCGCATTGGCAGAGGGGTGGATGAAGTGACCTCACCGTGTACCTCTTTCACATCTATGATGAGAGTTCGTCCTGTGCAGAAAAATGACAGCGGGTCCATCCCCACCACCGCCACGTACACATAACCTCGGCCAGCGTGATTACAAAAGGTTGTCCCAGTTAGAAAGAAACTGGACTCTACAGCAGAAAAGCAGCTATTTGTTTCTGGATCCGCGGTTAGGGAGGTGGCAGACATAACACTTGGTTGCAGGCACACCCTTGAAAAAGCCTTCCTATAAACTCTTTTTATTGGATGTAAAAGTTATTTCAACTTCTGGGTGCAATTCAGGAAGTGGGTGATGCCTTCCACAGTGTTCTTACAGCATCAAAGCCAAAAATTATCTCACTCAATTTATTGTAATAGTTGGTGGCTCCACTACGATGGAGTCTCTATCGTTTCACAGGTATCACTCATCAATAGCTGCTGCGCTCTACTACGCTGTGCTGCCGGCACGGCTTGGAGATTCACGTATGCTCGTTTCACAGCAAAATGTTTTCCGCTGTCTTTATCTACTGTTCCTCCATAGTGTGTCTAGCTGACACATGCTGATGCTGACTTCCATCCAAAACTGAAATTAAGAAATGACAAATTCATCATTTGTTTAAATAACTAAGTTTAAGTAGTCCCCCTGCATCAGGTGAATTTTTTGTAAAGAGAGCCAGGCTCATTAGGGGCCCCACCCTGGGTCACCAGCTTCAGCTGGGATCACTAAAGCACCTATTTAAGCAGGAAAGCCGCTCAGTAGCTTCTCGTGGTGGACAGTAAATTGTTCTTCTTTTTGCTGCTTAGGTTAACTAGCTCTGCTCTTGGAGGGACAGATAAGGACGACAGTAGTACACTGCCTTTGGGGGAAGATGTTGGCCGAAGAACTATTTGTGCTCTTCTACATAAAGGGAAGATAAAAAAAAACCCACCTGCTTCTCAAATTGAAGAGAGCTCTGAGTCCTGGAGAACCGACAGCTTTATACCGGCCACAAAAGGGAATGGCCCTCTGGAGACTCTCAGGTAAGACCACTTGTTTTTCTTTTTGTAGAGGCAATACTGCTTTAGTTACTCACAAAGCATGCGATATTACTTTATGTAAAAATGTTTATAATTCAACTATGCTATATTTAATACTTATTTTTATGAATTGGTGTGAGAATCAGTGTATGTAATGGTTAGAGAAAAAAAATTAAAAGGTTGAGAGTTTTCTTAATAGGTGTGTGACAAAACTGCTTCACAACTGAAGACTTGTGTTTGGGTTTAAGAGAAACCACCTTAAAATAATATGGGTTTAATGCTTGTACGTGAAAAAAAGTCATTTCTGCTCTGTCTGTAAACTTAAATTCTGATACAAACAGCTGGAATAGGGCAATGCTGGAACACTGGCTTTTTGGACGGCTATGCTTACCAGCGCTATCACTTACTACCACGCAAATACACTCTATGGAAAATCTTCCCATGAAGTATGACTGCATGGTGTCTAAATGGCCAGCAGTTAGTGGTAATTCAGTAGAAAAGCTAAAGTTTGATTTACATGGTGGCCAGTTTCCAGGATCGGGAGGAGGAAGTTGAAAACAAAAGATAAATTACAGGTTGTAAAAAGTTTTATTTTAAGTAAAACAAGCTCAACAATTTCCCTTTGAAGGCATAGTCAGGCTGCAACAACTTCCAAATATAGTTCACTTCCTGAGGGGTTTGTAGTAATGTGCATCAATGCTGTGTGGTTTGTCTGTATTGTGGACAGCGAAAATCTGGATTTTCAAGGAGTCTGACCTTTACAGAACACACTAATGATGCACAGGAATTTCCCCCCCCACGAAGAACTGAACATGTGACTAAGTTCTGTTCTTTTGTAACGTGGCATCTGTCAAATGCAGGAAATACGCTATTAAGAAAAACATTTTAGCACTAGCGAGATAACTTTACACCATCTCAAATGGCCACCTATTTCTCTACAATGACTACATCAAGTTAGAAGCCACTTTAACCTCATTCTGATGTGGTATGAGAAATACTCAAAAGGCGACATGAAAAAAAGAATTTGAAATGATTGTTGGTTTAGTCGTTCTCATCCTAGTTCTACCGAGTCCCAGTAACTACCTTGCAGTTACAGGAATGAGCTGAAGCCTCTCAGCACTTGAAATCATTACACAGTTAAAAGACGTAGGAAGGAAGAAGCCGTAACAGTGGAAAATTGTACATCAGGGAGCAGACAGACACTGGAAGGTTTCTAGTGGGATGAGACTTTATGAAACAAGAAATGTAAGGCCAAGAACCCCAAAAGAGTTTAATCTTCCTACATTTCCTCCAATAGCTTGTGTTATTAGAAAGGTAACTAAAAGTTTCCAAGTAAATGGAAGTATCTACACTGGCAGTAACTCTGGGCTAGCAACAGCATTTCCTTTTCTAACAAGTCTAATCCTAAAGTGATTTTTTCCAGAATTCTAACTCTAGCTGCTAATCAGTTATCTGCAGAAAATTATCTGGGGTTGCCTGGCTTTTTTCACTGTTTTCAAAAAATTCTGTGGTTTCCAGCTACTCAAGTGGGGTTTTCTGTAGGGAACACAGTTCTCCTTGCAATGCACTTACTATGTCCTTCAAATGACATTTGAAATCACGTCTTTGCCAAATCTCATCTCCACACTTGCTGTTTTCATCCATATTTCAAATACTTTTTTCAATAAACTATAAAAAAATCTGGAATTTAACGCTTACTACTTCTACACTAAACCATGTATCAGTTTTTAGGCCAAGCTGATAACTAGCTATTTGCTGCTAGAGTTTGGTGGAACAAATTCTTTTTTCATTGCGATTTGAAGAATTAGTGGAATATTAAACTGAAGTTATTGCTAAAGAGCAAGTAACAGTACAGAGGGAACAGGAACGGATGCTGAAAAGGGAATAAATCTCACCCATTGCCTGCAAGCTTCTCTGTGCATCAAGGGGCAATGAAAGCAATACCTGAAACCCTACAATTCCATGTAAAAGGTTGAAGAGTGCTCTAGTTCTGATATAGTGACGCAGCGGCAGTAGCACTGTAGCTGCTCAGTTTAAACTTTTGCTAAAAATACTAAGCCCTCTAGGCCTTGCATTCTCCAGAGTTCATGTAAGAGGAACCTGTGTTACATACCGCTTTTCATGACTACGTTGGACCACACATTGGCATTCAAGGCTTGTACAATCCGTTTCACTCCGGTGGACTCTGGAAAATCATCTAAACCAAAAGACAAAGACATTGCACTCCTAACAATTTGACCAAAAATCACTACACGCCCAAAAGTGAGAAGGTGTGTGTTTGCATGCCTGTCCTATCTTATAGCAGTAGATACAAATGATGACTTTTGTTAGGAAACGGACTTCTTAACTTTGCTTCGTGAGAGGCCAAACAAATCTCAATTAATGCCTCGCTTCTTGGTCTATGCTTCTGGGTATTATGAAATGGGAGCTTTCAGCCTTTTGCAGAGAGATCTAAATTCTGAGTGAGGTTTTGCTAAATATTTAGCATGAGGCCTACATGGTTAAATAACATACAAGTAAATTTAATAGCAATAAACAATTTTTAAGCTGCTGATAAAAGAAAGACATCTTTTACCCCAAGATCTTTTAGAACGCTGCATGACATTAAAATAGATGCTAGAATTACTTTTCCTTCCTTTAGAAAGAACTTCAGACAACGATTTTAAAAAAGGTGTGATGCTTAAAAACGGAAATGATCACTGTAAAGCTATCTCCACAACATCTAACTCCGAATGTTCCAGTAACCTGTGAGTTACAGGAACTTGAAAGACTAAGGAAAGCATTATTTGGGCTTCAACTTATTTACTGAATAGCTCTGACACCACTTTGTATAAAGTCAGTTTTCCCATTTCCTCAGTTTAGTCAGCTTCCCATGTTTGTTCAGGTCTCACAAAGCAATAAGGGGAAAAAAACCCTTTGGATACAAAAACGTGATTGCTTGGAAGTCAAACTCTCTTAGGATGACTCAGGGACAGATGCAGTAATTGAAACTGCCTTTAAAAATTAATTTAAAGCTGTCTATGACCCCTTAGATCAAATATTTTGCCCCCTGTAACAATGCTGTTTGGTTTTGTATCAGAGTCACTCTCAAGTGTCTCAGTTCAGAGTTCTTGTCCTTGCTGTAGAAACAACTGACTGACAGCGTAGTCATAGCAAGAGCTCCAGTTCATTTGTGATAAGCTGCCAGAAATGTCATACTTTTTAAACAGATATTGGCCCAGTATGTTTACTGTGTCAATTTTATCTTTTGTAAATAATTCATACAGCATGTTTACAGGGTAAATGTGTTACTGGAATACATTTCCTCCTATGTATGAGCCACAGTGAAGCAACCACCATATTAAAAATCCAGGAAAACATATATCTTAACACTCCAAAGACTAACATTTTAAGTTATTATTATTCCCAATAGTAAATAGCTTGTTCTTTAGAACAATTATTCAATAGAAAAAAAAGCCTTGACTGAATGTTACTAGTATTTTCTTTTAAAGCACTTCATAAGAAAACTTCGGTCTAAGGGAAACAAACTTCCTATGTTTCTGGTTTCTATAAATCAGAAATATGTGTACCCCTCCCTCCCTGACTAACAAAGCACCAAAAAGAAATGCATCTTTAAAGACATGGCGGGGGGATATGGGGGGGCTCTTAGCGACTCAAGATAGTTTTAATCTAAGCCTTTAAAGGGGCTGTGGGGGGAGGAACTTGAGTTCTAGCTTAGAAGACCTTTACATTAAATTATTTTTGGTGACAGCTGTGTACTCAGTAAACCTGAAATAGAGCAAATGTTAGTGACTAATTCCACTCAAGCCTGGAAATGGAGCTGTTTACAACTTACCTCTGTAGAGGCAAACTAAACCTTTTTTTGTATCACTGAAATGAGGAGATAAGGCTGATGCTAAGGCTGTCCGGAAGTGCACAGTCACTCTTCAAGAGTGGAACATCACACATCACACTTCTGACTTTGCTTCACGGGTTTTTTCAAGTTATAAACGTGTGGTCAGCCAGTGATTTTGAAACTGGTTTATTTCCTGTGTAACAGTGCATGCTATTCTAAAATGTTTTTAGCAATCTGCCCTTTTCAGCCTGCCATGACACCGTTTGAATAATGTCTATCTTCTCTTGGTGTGTACAATAGCTTTTAAAAGTCTTTTTAAAAAGAAGACAAAGAATTTTCCTGCCCCTGTGCGTCTCTCTAGTTCTTGTTCTTTAGATTTATTTCCAAAATGGAATATACATGCTTCTGTTCTATCAATACAGTCCTAGGATTAGTGCCAGAAAAAGGAGCAGATATTATTTTTATGTAGGTGCTACATAAACAGCAGCTGTATTTGGGAGGAGACAAATGGAATTTCTTGGAGGAAATAACCACCTCCTCCTCCTGACCTTTTATAGCTGAGACTAAGCCTCACCAACTGGGAGCATTCCATGCAGTAATAATGTAGCACATAAATGAAGTTATGCCCCTCGCAATTGTGTAGAAGGTACTTTGGTGTGCTCTTTCATTCTAAAAGTTAAAATAGAAGTGGCAGTCCTACCATCTTCATCAGGCAGTTCCTCAGGGCTAAGTTCTACCAGTTCAAAGCCATGCTTGATGCACCATTCTTGAGCTTTCTGTCTGTTAACACCTAAAGTTGGGAAACAAAAAATGCATACAAAACATACATATTTGAGACTAGTATCAGCAGTTGAATCTTTAGCTACATTTTCTTCTTTCAAAGCTGTTTGCTTATTCTGGGTTGTGGTGGGGGAAGAAGCATATAGTAGCTGGCATGGATTCTCTGTTCACTTTGAATTTGATTCCAAAAGCTCCAGTTAAACTCCTCCCTTGAATTGTGGTGGTTTGGTTGGTTTTTTTTTTTTCAAATACCATAAAATCAAATGGCGTTGCAGTGGGTACTCAAAGGGAAAGTAAGTGAAGTGCCACAGTGAATGAAGACTTCTATTAACTCCAGGTTTGAATCCAAATTCACTTACAGGGACATATCTGCACCTTAGAGCTTGCTGTTGTATTGCATATACTATTCTAGAACCAAAGCAAATGTGTGCATTTAATGTCCAAATGGTCAAAAAGATGAACATACTTTCCACTGTAGTTAAGCAACTAAGTCATTCTCATTCTTCACCAGAGAGGACCGTGCACACCCAGTAATACCTCTTTAGTTACCTTCCAGTGCATGCTGGTATACTAGGAGTGGCATACACGGAGCTCATTTTAAGCGAGCTTGTAAAATTCTGATTCAGTTTTAACTACAACTAGCTTAAGGCTTCTGCTCCCGATCACAAGAGTAAGCTGGCTCTTCTCAATCAAATCTCAAGCCCAGTCTCATACAGGTATTTTGAGAAACAATTGTGTTGATTTAACTAGAAAATTTCAGAGAGTTTAGTTAGTTAAAGAGGCTTAGCTGCAAGGTAAAATTACTGAACAGAAAACTGGTCCTGTTCTACCTCAAACCAGGACAGCAAGGTTCATAACTCTAGGTCAGTTTGGAACTTCTTTGGGTTTCATACCATCTTCAGATACTCTGTTGCAAACCAGGATCATGACTTCTGGTAACCACTCTTCTGTCAGGGGAAGCCATTCAGAGACACTATCAAGTCCAGATTTCTAAAGGGAGGGGAAAAAAAAAAGTTCTTTGGAATACATCTTCAAATACTTTAGTTTTTAAACTAGTTTTAAATCATTAATAGTATTAGAATAAAATGAAGTAGGGAACTATGCTAGGCTGCCTATCAAGTATGTTTAAGACCCTTGTGTTCTAATCGGAGATGCTGACTTATACACAACTTCCTTCTGATTCTTGACTTAACCTTACAGATGAGTTAATCCTACTTCTTTGGACCTCCCTTTCATGTTTAAAAGCAATTATGCAACCCTAGTGTAGACTAGGAAAGACTTTTTTACGTGAGGCTAATCATGAGTATTTCATTTTAAGCATATCGTGGGTTTATGATGCAGTTACTCATCTTCCACGCTAAAGTGGATGCTATGGGGGCTGGTGAATGACTCCCATTGCTCTGGTTTATTCTGAGACAGCCCTGAGAAGTCCAGTTAAGGTATCTTTGCAGAATGTGTGGTATGCACCCTTTCCCATCTGTGGTGAAAAATAGTTCCTTGTTTAGAAATATTTTTTTTTTGTCTCTGAATCTTTTTGGCTTTTGCTAAAGCACTGTTTTCATGGCTGCCAGCTTAGTAGAAACAATTTTGGGTAAAATGATAGCACTGAATCTTATGTTTAGCTCCTTCATTCTTGGCTATCTTAAAGCAGCCTTTCTGAACTAGTATCAGCTGGGAGTAAAGTTGGAGGTGGTGGACTGGAGGAGGATTTGCCTAATTTAGTGGCATATTTGCATTCTGAAAAACCTTTCTTCCAACTGGAGTATGATAGTAAAAGGGAAGGAAACTGCTTCCACTGACAGTTGGCATAACTTAAGGTTGATCTACTGAGAATTAATAGAACAGACTAAAAGGAATGTATGACACAAGATGAAGAGAATATAACTTGTGGTTATCACTGTCATAAGGCAACTATGTCATACAGATAAAGCAATATAATGAAGCAGAAGAGTCTTACTATTGTGCTGTCGAAGTACACAACAAATGCTTGCACAGATTCAGCAATATCTCCAGTAACAAGAAATGTGTTTGGTACTACACAGAGGTGAATATCTGCAGAATAATATTTATTATCTATTGTCCAGGGGTAAAAATTCACTGTTCCACTTCTAGTTGCACCCACAGTAAGGTCATCTTTTCCTGTGATACCTGTATAAAAGAAAATGAATGAGACTGATAAAACCAGCATCAAGCACATAATTTGTCTAGAGAAGCTTGGTACAATGCCATTACAGAGCCATCTTTACTTACTATAACAAAACAGTGAATATTTAAGGTCTTTAAAAATACAACTCAATTTGTTACTATGTCATAGAGTTTATTATTAAGCTTTCAAAAACACTTTTTTTCCAAGAGTTTAGTTTCAAAAGAATTTTTCTGGCTTTCAAACTAAAATACAGTAGAGAAGCTCTTCAGAAAGCAAGCCTTTTCCGGGAAATGCCTTTTAAAGTGTTAGCCTCAAACTCACAACCTGTAAACAGAATGTATGGAGAGAATACCTAGACTTTATTACTGCAGAAACAAATCTTGCATGTTCATTCAGATGTGAAGAACTGTTTGACTGTGACCAAAACCTGAAGGTAACTAATGAAAAAACAAACCAAGTTACTACAATTCAGCTGTAATTCCCATTAAATTCCATGTAGGAGTTCGACAATTAAAATCCAAGGCAGTGCTTTGATAATGTAATGTTAAACACTGCCCCTTCATGTGCTGGTAGCAACCTTCACAGCGCACACTCATAGCATGACAGCCACCTGGTGGAGTTGAATTATAGCTAGTAGCAGACCATCCAACCTGTACCTCGCTGGGAAAGGCAGCATATCTTGTTCAAGCTGGACAAACCCATGGACACTCTATAACACAGGTCAATTATGTATTGACTGAGTCATCTAGAATTGCTCTGAGCATAAGAAGAGCTAAAAAATAAGAAATAAAGTATATAGGTTTTCAAAGATCTTAAGGGATTTTAAAGGTATTGAGACACAACACCTAGAGATGCTGGAACAGGCTGTTCCCCAAATAGTCAGAACTGGAATTTGAAATTATGTGTATCTTATAGGCAGGAAAAATCCATTGCCAGGATTGCTCTAGAAAGGTCTGATTTTTGCAAAGTCTGAGAAATCGAACTAGTGAATGAGCATGGTGCAGAAGGCAGCACAGAGGAGCGCTCTAAATCAGAAGGATAATTTGCAGCAGTGAGGAGGAGGAGGACATAGGGAATCTGCGGGAGAAATTCGACCTTGGAAACAGAAACCTGGGAGGGGATCTCCTGTCTGGGTTTTGTTGGGAGGGGGGGAGGAAGAGGGGGATGGCAGCAGTCGGGAAGGCAAAAAAAAGCATCATATCTACATGTGTTTCCCAGGTTAAGAAAGTTTGATGTTTTTTCTTTCTAATTTGCATTGACATTAGCTTTCAGAGTAACTGGTTTTCAGTCAGAAGCTATTCTGTGATAAGACTATCCATATCACTTTGGAGCTGGGGGATGATGACACTGAGTTAATACCAAACAAACCTTGACTTTGAACTTTGTAGTATTAGAGCGCTACCTTGTCCATATAAATATGGAAGAGACTACCACTACACTTAACCAAAATCAGTAACCGTGAAAGATTTTTTTCTTTCACAGCTTTTTTTAATCACTTTTAAGCAATGCACACCACTTCTACTGGCAAATAAAAGCTGTTTTCCCATGCTTGCCTCGTAACTTGTGTACATGGACCTCTGCTTGCCCTGCAAATAATAGTAATGCCGCAGTCACTTTGCAGCAGGTATCTCTATCCTGTTTGCATTCACGGGTATCGGGCTCTACTGACATGAAGCAGACACCTACGCGCCCATCTTCCAAGGAAACACAAGAATAGCTGTTCAGTTAGTTTTAAACCCAAGCTTTTCAATTTCAGATACAGCAAGTCTACTCTTAAAAAAAAAAAAAACCAAAAAAACCCCTACTCTGAAAAAAACCCCAAGTAATTAGTAAAAAAGATCATCAAATAATAGCATGTCACTTTACAAAATCTATAGCTTTCATGTGCATATTCCATTATACTAAAGGCATTTTGGTAGATGACAAGTTAGTTTTTTCTGCTATAAAACAGGAGCTTTAAGAGTGACTAGATGTTAAGTGCTATACGTGGTATAATTTAGTTTGCTGCCTTTGGTAAACAGGACACTGCTATGTGCAAATTGCTACTAGACTAGGAATCTCTTTTAAATGGGTATTAGGGCCAATGGAGGCAGCTTTCACTCTGCTTACACATAACGTGACAAAATTATAGTAACCTGGAGAGGAACCAAATTAGGCAGACAATGTCACTGTGCATGTCCAAAACACAGGGATGCCTTTTCTTTCTGGAATTATCTGCTGCTAAGCCTTTCAAATGCAGACCTAATCTTAATTTTCTGCCCTGGACACCAGATGTTTTGTTTGGAGGTTTTGAATGCACCATAAAATATGTTATAAATGTCCCTTCACTAGTGTTTTGACAGTTAAAAATAACTAACTAAACAAAAATCAGTTCTAAGCTAACAGAATTACAAGTCAATGCCACAAGAAGCTAAGAATAAAGGAGCCCACAGAAATTACTGAAACACAGAAAATCAGCAGTAAGACTGAGAGCCAAAGGGAGGAAAACCGGGAGGGGAAAGGAAGTCAGTTCAAAAGTCACTTAGTGAAGTTAACCATCTGAGCAAGAACACAAAAGGAAAGAACTTCTTAAAGATTTTAAAAGGCTGATATGAAAGAATTTTCACGTTTGCTTTGCAAGTGATTTTTTTTTTTTCCTTACAAAAGAGTTCATGGACAAATTTAGGCCTCAAAGTACTGCTAGAAGAATGAGGACATGTCCCATTTCCTATTATATGCTACTGTTCCTGTATTTTAAGCAGTTGTCTTTCATCCCATTGTGCTTCTGATTACCCATCATTCATCCAAAGATTTTGCCAATCCCCTGTGAAATTTCTCTCCCAGTAAAAATGGATGTTGCACACTAAACTCAAAGGACTGCAAGAACTTTTCAGACTTGCTATGTCTCAGGCTGCACGTACCGTTGTAACAAATTACTGCAAAAGAGGCTGATTACTCATGGCAGGAAACTAAATGCAGTTTGGGTATCTTGTGAATAGTTCTCTTCCACAAAAGTCACTTAGACCAATTAGTTTTTGGCCTTTAGAGTAAACAAGCAGAGACTACAAAAGAAACCTACGCTGCAACTTAAACTGAGTTGTCAAGGACATATTCCATGATGGAACTAGTTTTAAGGATTACACTTGCTAGCTCTGGTTTCCAGACATTTCTTTCCAAGACACCCTCTAGTTTAAGGAAAACAGTAAATTCAGCCAGAATAGTTTCATATCTAATTTAGAGAATATTCATCAGAATAAGCATCATTAAGTTATATTTGGATACAGAATAAACTTCTAGAAAATTTAATATGGTGAAAAGAGGTGGCTTGTCAAACTTCTCTAGTGAGTTACTCATTTTTAATTTTAAACTCCCCAGCCATTGAAAGTGTCAGTGGTTTGCCATCCAAAGAGCGTGGAAAACCAACTGACTCACCCTTTGACCACAACAGTAGGCAGGCCTACTGGGCTGGCTTAATTAGCTTGCCTTTTCATAGAGCAGAAGTGGCTTGTCTGGATGACAGGAATGCAAACAGATTCCAAATACATCACTATTAAAGCGTACTAAAAACATGCATGGAAAAGTTCATGCCACAAAAGAACATTGCTCGGTGTCATTCAAAAACACGATTTAGAGTTCAAGGTCCTCTAAGAAATACTGCAACTACTAATGCTGGACACTTATTTTACGGAGACAACTTTTACAATCTTACCAATAACTATTGAATACTAATTAAGACATACTGTATTTCAGTGTTCCATGCTTCTGTACAAAAGCACTTGGGAGCAATAGAAGCATCTACAGTGCATGATTCCAGGCTAGGGACCAAACAGCCCATTTCTAAGCTGTTTCCAGTATCATCCTTGGGTCATTACCTCCTGCATACATTGGCATTACTCACCTATGCAACCTCCAAAGCCCCTGTACTAACGCCAACCCATGCTAAGATCACCACATTTGTCAGAGACAGACAATTATCCTTCTCCAGTTTATTCCAGTTCATGACCCACTTTGCCTGTTGTCTACCAGAAAACCATTTAAGAACACAACAGCAACTGACACATGAGATCAGTTCATGGTTCAATCCAGTAAATGATAGTGACTGGTGTCATATAGCTCAATGAACTTCCAAACTTCTGTGGACTCTGTCAGAGGAAAAGCTGTTTTTTCCTTCCAAGCAGTCAGTCAGTAGCTTACATTTTTCAGCAAATTAATTAGTTGTGTCCTTTACTCACAAGTATCTATAATTTTTAATAAATTGGACAAAATTCTGACCAATACTTTTTGAAATTAATTTCAGCTATCTATTTCCATAGATGTTTGCTCATTTTACTGATTTAAACTTGTTGACTTTTAATTCCATGGGCTTGCATATAGACAAGATAAATCAAACAATGGTTCAGAAGATAACGAAGAGGACATGGCAAAAGTGTAAAACCTAACATGCATTCCCTTTTTGTAATACAGAGGCTTAGTAAGTATTCTGTAAGTGCAAGGCAGCAAATGCTTTTTCAAAAGGCAAACTGGAGACAAAAAATAATATTTCAGAGAAGAGCTGAATAATAATCAAAGAACAAGATGTAGATCTCTTGCCTCTTGCAGCAGTGTTCCCTGTTCTGTAATACCCAACAGATATTTAACCACTTCCACTATACTGTGTTTAATAGTAGTATTTTTTTCAGAATCATTACAACTCCTCTTTGCAGGTTTTCCAAAGGGATTAAGGTATTGATCACTCTTCCCAGTGTTTTTCAGATTGAATACATGTAATAGGAACATAATTCAGTTTTCTACAATGCCCTAAATGATCCCAAGTCCTCTTAGTTGGTAGGTACACCAGTAGTTCTCACATTCTGGGCCTTGAGAGCCACCTGGTGGAATACACCATAAAAAATACTCCTGCAAATTACACAAGGAGTAAAGAGAACTCGGAAGTATACTGTGGGGGAGGAGGGGACTCGTAAACAGTCAAAGAAGAAGGAAAAAAGAATCACATCAGACAGTATTTTATCTGTTGGACAGCATTTTTAAAAACTAAACCTTACTTGCTGTTTTAATTTGTGATAAATATATCTAATGAGCCAATCCTATTCTATGCATTTTAAATAGCTTTGTTTTGCCACAGTAGCTAATGAAATAAAACATTCAGGGCATCCCACAGAAACTTGCAAGAATAAAAATATATCTAGCAAATGTACCACAATATTCTTCTCATGCTCAAGCCGTTTCCTACTTAACAGGATGAAAACACTGGAAAAAGCCTTGTAATTAGCATGGAAAGTTCTGGCAGGCAGTAGGAGAAATTGGTTCTCGTACACCTCCTAACAGTGAACGCTCTGAGCAGCTTCCTTCTATTTATAAAACAGGTTTGCCTAGAAAGATCATGGACCAGGGAAATCCTGCAACACAGTGGCAAATGCAGTGATAATATTGATAAGGGCTATGTTTCTGTTATAGACTCAAAAGCCAACTGCTATATGGATCCTACCAACCAAGACAGTATATAATAGCATATATAACCATACATATTGTATCTGAAACACTCAGAGGTGCTAATATAATGGTCTTGTTCTCGGCATTGAGCTAAACCATTATCAAATAATGCCTTTAATCTGGCATGACGCTTTCATGCTGTAAAAGCACAAGTTCTGAGACTTGCACCAGCATTTTGTTTTAACCCACCAAAACCCTTCAGCCCAGCCTACTGTAGCCAGCCACAGCTGCTTTGTCCTTATCAGTGTGTCCTTGAATGTTTTACAATGTTTGTTGTGCTTATGCCTCTGGATCTGATGCAATTTCACTTGTTGTACCATGAGAATTAAGTTCCTGCTTTGTATTTATTTTAGTAAATTATCGTGTTTCAGGAAGATTTTAACATCTTTTGTCAAGCAACCCAATTAGAGGACGCAAAGACTATCTGTAAGACTCCAGTTTTGGAGGAAAACAGCAGAAGCCTAGACATTTCAAAGTGAGTACTAGTTAAAAAAACCCAAACAACAAATCTTAAGTTTTAAGACTTTCTCAGATTAGATAGCATTTCTATGAAGCTTTTTGCTCACCTTCCTTTTTTACTTGTTTAGTTTCACTATGAAAAACAATCAAAAAGAAACCTACAGGAACCTTGAATAATTCCTTCCAATTTGCTTAGACCTTCCTCAAAAATAACCAACAACCAATAATAATATTCTTTGGTATGGAATCTTTAAATAATTCAATATCAACCTAGTTGCTTTGACAGAGTAGCCTTTGACTGCAGACCTTGTACTGTTATTCTTGTTTCAAAATGTGGTTTAATGAGATGTAGAGAGCCAGTCCCTGGGGGCAGCCCTCTGCTTAATGAGGTCCTAAATAAGAAACAATTGGAAACAAACCCAGAAAATGGAGTGGGAGTGTTGATAAGTTATACATCTTAGTATGCACATCAAACTGTTCATGACAGTTCTCTAAAAAGCAAGGCTGCACAAACAAGTTGTAATGGCAAAACCACCAAGATCTAAACAGCTTCATCCTGGAATATCCCTGATTTTCGAATTACTAAAAATTCCACCAAAGTTTTCTTTGCTATCGGGTCTTACTCTCATATTTCCTTTATTCAAGCCATAAAAAAGGGAACTGGGTTCCAAGAAAACCACTTCCTAGAGAATGAATCCTATGTATTTGATGTGGAGTACGTGTAATCTACAATTCTGACAACTGCAGAAAGGAAAAATCTTTTAGCTTTCCCTTTTTTGTCCTTCTGCATTGTGACAACAAATGGTCTAACCCATCAAAGCAAGCCTGAGTAAAGCAAGGGTTCAGACCCACCAGGAATTTTTGACATTCTACCATCCTTAGGGTCCAGGATAGTCCGTTCACTTCAAAAATGGAAAGATGAAACCAGAGGGACAGTATTTACTCTGCTTTTGTTTTTCCCTTGCCTGTAGTCCTGAGCCACTCTGGTTGCTCTGGTGTCCCTGTCTTGTTCTAGGGGCTGTCCGGGCCACTGACATGTCCCAGTGAAACAAGGTCACTTTTGCACTCTCCGTGTGAATGACCAGAGTGGCCAGCAGCTCACCTTGTGGTCTCATAAATCTGTTTTTTTATTTGTTATTGTAGAAAGTATTATTTTTATTCACACTCAAGGCAATTCTGCGATTACTTAGTCCAGTTACAACTTATGACGGTTTATTCACAGTTCGGACATGGCAAGTGGCGAGTGGGTAACAAAGCATTTTGGGAATGTTGGGGCTTCCTTTTATCCTTGGGGGTTGTGGTGGTGATACTGCCTGCTCGGTGGTGTGGGAGGGTACGAAACACACCATCTGCGGCTCTATCCTGTCTCTCTTAAATAGCTAATTTCCTTAAAGCAATAAGGAGGCCCCTGACGCTCTCCTCGAGGGCAGGTAGTTAAACACCACAGGCCCAGGTGGCTGCCCTGGGCCGGCCGCTCAGGGGCCGGTGTGTGAGGGGAGGACCGCCACCCCTCAGGGCCCGGCCTGGGGGTGAGGAGCTGCCGGGCCGAGGCCT